AGTAGAATTCCATGTTCCTTTTTCTCTTTTTACATAGGATATTTGCTAACAAGTCCTTTAATAATACATCCTGTATCAGGAACCTGTGTAAAAGTTTGTGTTGTTGTTAACATTGAGAAGTTCTTAGCAAACATGTTTTGCTGTTTGGTAAAAAAGTGAGATGAAATGAAATTCTTTAAGACAAGTTGGTACTGGAAATATGTATTTCCATTTTTATTTATATAATATAATAAATTACTTGAGCTTGTCTGTTTTAATTACAAGCCCTAAGGCAGGGGTGGGGAACCTCCGGCCGTATACGGCCCGCGAGACCATTTGATACGGCCCTCGAGGTAATTTATAAACACACGCACATTTTTTTTTAAAGGGCCCATGTCATGGCCATTTCCACTGATCATAATTACATTGTTGAGGTATACTAAAATAGATTTATACTGTGCAATTTTCCAAACTCACATTGGTTTCGCATACAGCATCTCTGTCAAGCATGTATTCACTTTCTCCACTAAACGACTCGTTGGAGCTCTTGCCCCCCCCTCCCTGTGAGCCTAGTGTGCTCCGATTGGTCAGCTCGGCCACTCGTTCTGATTAGTCAACCACCAGAGAGGCTGCGCCCATGTCAGTGCTTTTCCCGGCTGCTCTCAGCGTAACATCAGTCTTATCATGGCGTCGGTACAGCGGTATATTTTATATACATATATATTTTTAACTGTTGTTATAGAAGAGTGTGACGGCCTCAGGGCCTTTGTCTTACGATGGGGTGGAGCTGAAGAGGCTAATCAGCACGATCACGGACACCTCCGGACACAGTCTCTCTCCAAAGCGGCTGCAGGAAGACTAACTCTGCGATCCTCTCAACCACCTGTCTCTGCATTTACCACAATAAATGTGCCGTGGTTTTGTAAACTCGTGTATGTCTCCTTGTCTTTGTGGCCTACGAGCCGCTCATAACAAAGAGTAAGTTATTTTTACCCGTTATAAACTACTACTGTTTGATGAGAAATCAAATCATGGTTTGCTATATATGAATTCAGGGAAGAAAGGATAGGCCTACTAAGTATTTCCATTAAACTTTATTTTTAGAAATGTACAAAATGAACATAAATATACATATATACACGGTATATCATCCATTCCTCCTCCTCGCATCTTGCCTGCGCACAGTCGGTGCGGTGCCTTTTAGCACCCTCAGTAGTAGTAGAATCCCTTCCCCGTCATGGATTGTCCGCCAGGATCTGGCTGGACGAAATCAAATGCAAATCACAAAATATTAGAGAAACTTAGTTGTTTTAGATTCGTTAGTAGTAGTTGTGTAATGAACAGCTTGCCTGCTAATATGCTAACCTAGCTTTGTTTACCTTGGTAGCTAACACGATATGAACGTTAGCTTGGAGGAAAGGCAACTATAATGCAGTGTAATAAAACTACTATGAACAGAAGCTAGTGGTTCATATTAGGCTAGCAATAACGTGTTTATAATTGCAATCGTATACGGGTATTCTGCTACGTTCGGTCATACAATGTAACTTGCATGAATACATTGTTTTGCGCTAGCATACAGCTAGCCTCGTTAGCTACATGCAGTATATGTACGGTCACAATGTACGGTAAATCACAGTACAGTATACTGTATGAGTATTCCGTGTGTGTGACTGCAGACATTCTCCTGCCATGACAAACATGTAAGGCCATCTGCTGACATTGTAGTTGATATATTTAAACGCTAGCAACGTAGCATCACAAAAATGTTTTTCTGACCAAAACTAGCTCTAGCTCCGTGTGTTAGATCGCTACGCCAGCTATAATGTAATTACGTTTCGCGACTGACCGGCAAATCACCCGGAGTATACTGTCAATAGGTATTTTGTGTGTGAATGCAGACATTCTCCTGCTATGAGATACATGTATGCAAGGCCATCTGCTGATATTAGAGTTGATATATGGAAACTCTAGCAACTTAGTTAGCACTGTGTCAATGGCTTAGCAGTCCAACACAGTTTACACATTTAAACAGTCTTGTTTGATAAATACACAAATAACAATGCAAACTTACAGGTTGTATACCCAGATCTTCCCCTGCTCCAAACGGTCCAAACAAGCTGTGCATATCCGGCCTCAAACTGGGCAATGTTTTGGAAGCTTTCGTCTGTGAAATGCCGGTTCTTCGAACCTCTGGAGGAGGAACACGCCGCTGCTGGTGTGGCCATAGCTCTTCGGGATTGGTCCATTTCGTTCCGGGTACCGCATGACATCAGGCGGTACCCGGAACTAAATGGAAGACTCAAATGGGCAGTGACGTATCTCCAACGAGGCGTTTTGGGGAGGTATTTTCTGTGTTAGAGTTTTACTCGCTACAGGGTGTACTTTGAGGGTTTTGACTCTGCACACCGTTTACATGCATAAAAACCTTCATAACACACAAGGGGACGGGTAATAACCGGAAAAGCATGACATGGGAGCTTTAAAGAAATCTAGACCGCAAAAGAATAAAAAAAGTGAGTGCCTGTTTTTCCTGGCCAAGGTCAGGGTCCTTGAACACAACACGAGCCTAACGTGTCATCACGTGGTATATGTCTCGTCTGACAGGGGTGCAGTTATAGAGAGGCGAAGTCCCTCCCCTTCCGGTGGACCTCCATGGGACCTTATTTCGGGAAAATGATGTATTGAAGTCAATGGAGAGAGAAAGATTATCTTTCGATCCCGTTTGAATTGTGCCCTGAATTACACATATGATGTTTGTCAATTTAAAAGATAATTTTGCAAGTCAAAAAAATTCAAATGTGTCGTAAAACTGTGAAGTACCACATTTTTTTGTGTGAACCGCTCAATGAATTACATCTCTGGTCTCGCACACGTTACCAACACCAAGATGGCCGTCACGTTGGTACATTTCACTTCTTTCTTTCAGAATGAGGCAAAAAGTATTAAAAGAGGTGAAAATCACTACAAGACTGGGCATGTTGAGAGCTGTACATACACACAAGGGGAGTTAGTCGGTTCCGTAAGATCCAGCATGCGGGAACGGCTTTACAAGGTTTCGGTGAGTAAGACGAGTGTAATGTGTAACGTTAATGACATCACTTACGCGACTCTGGGATTTGTAGTCTTTCTAGTTGTGTATTTTTCATAGTCTTATATTTCAACAGTTTTACGACAAACTGTGACTTTTTTGACATGGAAATGATTATTTAAGATTGACAAACATCATATGTGTAATTCGTGGCACAATTCAAACGGGATCGAAAGATAATCTTTCTGAAGGTGCCATAGGGCGGAAGTAGAAGAGCGGGACTTCACCTCTCTATGCCGGAGAGCACAAGAACGCCGCTCCGCCACTTAAAAAATGGCAGTACCCATAAGGAGCCGTACACATGCCGCAGTTTTTGCGTGGCTGTGTCTTTAGTTGAAAGCCCAGTGGCATCTGTTCATCTGTCATACTGATCATACAGTCAATAACTTTGTTGTTATTAGCATCTGGTTAGCTAGCTATGCTAACAAATATAAGAAGCTTTTTCTACAACCAGGTAAAGGCACATCTTTATATGATCATTATAGTTATACAAAAATAAGAGAATAAAGTAAACCGGTATAAAATACTATATGACAGTAAAAAAAAGTTGTTATTAATAAACAAGAATACAGTTTGAAAGGAGAGTGATTTGTAAAATATCCATAAAGAAAAAGAAAATCTGTTTACAGTTCTGTTTCATATGGATGTTGAGAGATGTATCCATAGATCTCTTCATGTTGCTCTCAAAGTGCACCAGATTGATGCTTTTAACTTCAACATTAAAAAAAAACATCTTCACGGAGGAGCATGCCCCCGGACCCCCCTGGAGGAGGTTAGGTCCCCCCCACACTTAAATCATGTTCACATGGATAGGAAACTATATACATTTGCACACATCTTGTGTCCAATATCTTTCTGTTTTGGTGGTCATGCCACAACCGTGCACGTGAATGCATGCGCGAGTCATGGTAAAATATCTGGATTAAGAGGTTGCTTTTTCTTTGCACAGCATGAAAGGAAGGCAAAATGAATGGGCTGTGATTTTAGTATTTTTAAGCAGAGGTCAATAATTTGTACGGCCCTCGGAGGATGTTGAAAAAATTGAAATGGCCCTTGAGAGGAAAAAGGTTCCCCACTCCTGCCCTAAGGCAAGTGGAATGTCTTTAAACAGCGCTACTGAGACAGAAATGTGGCCAATCCAGTCAATCCACCAGGGCAGCTTTAGGCCCTTCATGTAATCCTTGTGAATGAAAGTCTTTTTCCAGCAGGGGCAGCAGTCTGCTCAGGTGAAGCAGCGTGTGTGTGTGTGGTTTCCTCTTTGCTGCCAACATCAAACTTGAATCAGGATCTGAAGCACAGGAACAAGAGGGGGTGTCAACAATCTGAACCTCTGTGAGACAAAGAGCAGCTAAAACTTGATACTTCCCCCCCTAGCCTCCCAAAAACCACTTCTCTGAGCATGAAATAAGAGGGTTGATAATGGAACTCTTCTTTTATTCATGGCTATAGAGGCATACTAATAGCAGCGTCACTCTGGAGAAGAGACACAAGTTGGAGAAGTTGTTCTTCAATTAAATCCAGTTTTTTAAGAATAACAGCATCATGAGCACAGCTCCACACTGTCCACCATTGTTGTTGTTTATTCTGGCGTTGCTGAGAAATGCATTAATCCTGACGTGGCTTCTACAAGGCTCAGGTCGGTGAAAAGCAACCTGCAAACTAGCACTAGCACAGAACTAGAACATAACTCATTTAAATGGAAAAGGGGTATCTGTTCCCATGTGGAGGGAATTTGGAAAGATCCTGGCTATATGTTCTAATGAATAAGTGTCCACGTATGTATCAGGCTGTCAATGTGTTTCTATGTGTTTAATCATTTCATATAACTCTTAATGTTTAGTCTTTATAATATGCACATTGCACATATCCTTCACAGCGCTGCTGTTTAGATGGGTGGTGTATATAAGAACACACACATGAACACATGCTCTCAGACCTCGCTCAGCAGAGCCCAGACGTCAGCGTCAGAGTGAACCAGCAGGCGGAGCGCTGAGATCGGCTGCAGTGATTCTTCAATGTTCGCCGCAGCTAGCCCGTCCACAAACGCACCTGCAACACAGACACGCACAGCTTTTAACTTCTAGTCTTTCGCTGAAGCATCATTTCCTAATCTCCTAATATTTCAATTTTAAAATGTACAGGTGCCAACATGAAATTAATCTATGCTTGTAGTTTCAGAGGTGACATGCGTTGGAGGCGTTGGTTAGCTTATTACATCATTCAATAATTCAAATGTCATGGTATCTGCTGAACACATGATTCTACTGAATATAGTGGTGCAGCCAGTCTCAAAGCCAAAACATTTTAAAACTGGTTATTGGTTTGATTTCAGACATAAGGTTGTGGTTAACAAAAGGTATATGATGTTCACCCATGGGCGTAATTTCCACTGGGGACAGGGGGGACATGTCCCCCCCACTTTTCAAAATCCCATTTGTGTCCCCCCCACTTTTAAATTTTTAAAAAAAAAAATTTTTTACGCAAGCGGTCATCGTCACGGAGGAGCGTCTGTGTGTGTGTGTGGCACGAGCGCATCTTGTGAGAGAGAGATAGAAAGAGAGAGAGACAGAGAGAGAGAGACATAGAGAGTTACGGGGGTTGTTGTTAGCATTTGGTACTAGCTCGGAGCTAATGGAGATTAGTAGCTGTTTCAACAATAAGGAGAGGGAGAGCTCTTTCCTGTCGGACTTTGAGAGACTGAGAGAGAGAGAGAGAGAAATAGAGAGAGAGAGAGACAGAGACAGAGACAGAGACAGAGACAGAGACAGAGACAGAGAGAGAGAGAGAGAGAGAGAGAGAGAGAGAGAGAGAGAGAGAGAGAGAGAGAGAGAGAGAGAGAGAGAGAGAAGCTGTTTCAACAATAAGGAGAGGGAGAGTCCTCTCCTGTCGGACTGAGAGAGATAACGTCAGCTCAGGGAGGTAAAGGACTCTCTGAGTGATTAGGTTGTAAACTTTAGTCTAGTTATCTCAGTGGGTCTCAAACGGTTTGGTCATCTATGTAAACAAATATTTCCATCTATGTAATATATAGTTGTATATAAAATAAGTTAAGAAATCCTTCCAATGTGTACTATAGGTCAGTACAAAAATAAAAAACACAGTTTGAAAGGGGAGTGATTAGTCAAATATGCATAAATAAAAAGAAAGAATGCAGACTAGGTAAGATAAAGATAGGAGAGAGGAGTTTATCAATGATGTGTTATTGCTTGTGAGCATATTCTAATGGCATTTTGATTATTGAAATATATACAGTTCTGTTTCATATGAGTGTTGAGAACTGTATCCATAAATCTCTTAATGTTGCCCTCAAAGTGCACCAGATTGATGCATTCAACTTCAATTTAAAGAAACAAATCTTCCCGGGGTGCATGCCCCCGGACCCCCCTAGAGGATGTCAGGTAATCACAAATAAAACAGGTTCACATGGATAGGATACTAGATAAGTGTGCACACTCATTATATACACTACACATTTTTCTTGGATTTGTTAACACTATAGTCCCTAATATATTTGTAGAAAGGCAGGAAATGGAAATTGAGAAAATATTTCATTGCGGAGGACCCCCTGTTTTGTGTCCCCCCCACTTCTCAAACCAAAGTTACACCCTTGTCTCACCTTTTGTTCGACAACGTAAACTACGTCAGTAAACACCCCACTGGTGAAAGCCTGAAGCTTTTACTTGTCTCTATAACTGGTTTTGCTAACAAGTGGCTAAATGAGACTTCTAAAAGTCATCTTGCCAAACATTTGCCGCCTTTAGCTTAGCAGTGTTGACATGAAGTCATGTGACTTGTAGTTCCTTTATAACCTAATGCTTTGACTTTTGCGATTGCATTTAAGCTTCGGCTATGATAAAAGTGGTGTTAATATATGGAAAAAGTGTCCTTCTGAACAAAACGAAGAAGTATGATAAATATGTGTTTGCCACAGATCTTATTTGTTTGCAGTATCCCAAAATCCAATGGAAAAACCCCGTTGCTTTTAGTGGAGCGATCCCTTGCAATGCTAACTTCCAGGTCGTCTCCAAAAATACTCCAACGCTGCAGAACTCTATATGTGTGTTGGTGACATACATGCATGTGTGATGACTTGATTATTTGTATTATGTGTTATTGTATTTAATTAGAAATATTTACCGATTATGATGAAACCCTTATCAGATTGTCTGTAATGAGAAGGCGAAGCAGCCACCAGTGTGTCTCGTGCTGACGCCTGAAGGAAGAAAACACAACAAATCATTATTTATCATTTATTGATTATTTTGATTGTGTAAAATATGTATTTTTCAATTATTATTATGAGGGTTTCCTTTTGGGAAAGACTGCCACACGTCCCCTCTTCTGTACCTGCTCAGTTTCTGTAGCTGCCGTCTGCCTCTTATTTATAATAACAATATAATATGTGAAACCTCGTGGTTAATAAAAAGCTAAAAACTGGACAAGGGAAGGGAATACAGTTACCTTTTTTATATCCTAGTAAAGTAATCCCCTTATATGTAATCAGTTACTCCCCAAGCCTGCCTTTGAGCATGCATTGTCTGCCAGAAGCTGTCTTTGTACCACTTCTTTTTACATGTATTTTGTATATATTTTTACCAGACATCTTTCTACATCTGGGGTAAACAAACGTAGCCGTTAGCTTGTAGCCGCCATTTTCTTTGCCCACCATGGAAACACCAGGAATATCATGGCTGTCAACACATGCTCAGCACAGAGCACAGAACTATAGTTGTTTTAAGCGGGATTCGAAAATCTAACTTTTTCTTTCTTCTACGCCTGTATCTCAAATCAAATCAAATCAAAAGCTTCTATTGTCATTGTACAGAATACAACGAGATTTATAGTCACTGCTCCAGCGAGTGCTTTAAAAACAGACATATTAAAACACAGATTAAAAGGTCTGACAGTTACGACCAGCAAGTAGTGCACACAGCTTCGGATCGTCATGTAGATGAGCAGGATTAATAAATAAATAAATAAATAAATAAATGAATAAAATAGAATTATGATAAAATACATATGATAAATATTACAGTGTATACATAGAGACAGACCATGATCATTGCACAGTGTGGATATGGGGAGTTATTTGTGTGTGTTTAATGTCCTAATGGCCCATGGGAAGAAACTGTTTGTGAGTCTGGAGGTGCAGGCTTTCAGTGAACGGTAGCGCCGGCCCGAGGGCAGCAGGTCGAACAGATGACGGGCTGGGTGGGATGAGTCCTTCAGGATGGAACTGGTCCTCCTGAGGCAGCGAGAGCTGGTGATGTCTTCCAGGGAGGGCAGAGGGCAGCCAATAATCCTCTGGGCCGTGTTAATGACCCTCTGCAGAGCCTTCCTGTCGGCAGCCGAGCACCCTGCATACCAAGCAGAGATGCAGTATGTGAGGACGCTCTCAACTGTAGAGCGATAGAAGGTCACCAGCAGCTTCTGATTCAGATGGTTCTTTCTGAGCAGTCTCAGGAAGTACAGTCGCTGCTGGGCCTTCTTTATCACTGCCGTGGTGTTTGTGGACCAGGTGAGCTCCTGGGAGATGTGGACTCCCAGGAATTTAATGAAGGCACCCTCTCTACACAGTCCCCGTTAATGTAGAGGGGGGCGTGGTCTATGCTGGTTCTCCTGAAATCGATGATGATTTATTTCGTTTTTATTGAGTTTAGCAGTAGGTTGTTGACCGTGCACCACTCCGTCAGTTTCTGGACCTCCTCTCTATAGGCTGTCTCATCGCCTCCTGAGACGAGCCCGATGACGGGGGTGTCGTCTGCATATTTAATGATGGTGTTTGAAGGGTAGGTGGGAGAGCAGTCGTGCGTGTATAAGGCATCTACTTGTCTTATCGCCTGTATCTACTTGTCTTTCATCCTTTCTGTATAACTAAGGCAGTATTGTGATTTTAATGGTGTCCATTAATATCTGGCCGAGGACAACAGCTGGAAATTAGCAATGTTTGCTAAAGCTTCCCCATTTACTGTTGTTTGTGACAGTTGATCAATGGGGACTGTCCACAACACTATAAACAAATAAACTAAACTAAACTTCTTAGGTTTTTAATGAACCAAACTGACGTGGATACTGTGAGCATGCTTTGTCTCAGTCTGACCTTGTGGCTATCAGACCTGCTAATCCTGGTTCAGATAAGAATGTCACTTCTCACTGACATCAACACAGCTCACACACACTACGGTGCCGTGTTCCTATGCAATTATCATCTATTAATAATTAGCCCACATTCCAAGGTCACTATTCGACTCTTCAGAAGATGTAGATGTGTACAATATAAAGAAACCCAACGCATTCTAGGAACATGAGAAGATCCTGGGCTCTCTCTCTTGTTTAAGTGGATTCTGTAGTCCAGTCCTGGAGTATAGGTGTGCCCGTCCTGATCTGGGTGTGTTGGAAACATTCATCTGTTATCTAGAGAGTTTCTGGGCAGGAAGCCCGAGTTCCAGTTCCTATTGTATTATACTGATAATATACATGTAACTGTCAGTAGTGTGGATAAAGTGACAAGTTATGAATACAAAACTGATTGTAGAGCAGAGAAAATGAAAGCCATAGGAATACTATGTATTTATGCTGTATTTGTTCTTAAATGTCTTTTGCTTTTAATGTGTAAAGCACTTTGAATCGCATCGCCTCGCCTCGCCTCGCCTCGCCTCGCCTCGCCTTGCCTTGCCTACTATAACATGTGCTAGTGATGTGAGAAAAAACATGTTAGTTATTGGGTGACAGATTATAAGAACGCAACATGTTTAAAGTCTAGAAAGGCAAAAACAGATATGTTGCAAGTCACAATAAGCATATCATAGAAATATTACACAGGGTCCTTTTTACATCCTTTTTTGGTAGCGATCCAGAACTGTCAGCATGAAAGGGCAAACAGATGGCAGATAGTGTTTGAGTTTCCTCAACTGCAAAAGCCACCAGTTCCTGAAGTGTGCTTTTTCTATCAATGACACGATCATTGCTTACATAACTCACGGAAAGGCAAACGGCACGCTCTGGTTAGTTGCTTGCACACTGCACAGTCATGAAACTGCCTCACTGGGTTTTTGTTCTGAGATGATATTCTTTATGAAAACAGGAAAGACTTGTTTTCTCTTTGCATTCATTTGAACAACATCTGGCATGTTGGCTAGCAGTGTGGTGAATCGGAGTCGTCAATGGCCAGCAGTGGATGTGGGCGTTGGCATAGAGCTGTGACATCATGTGAAGACTATGAACTCATCTACTACAAAACACAATACATTAGAACGTGGATACTTGTCAAATGTAATATTCTGATGACATCATGATAAACTCTCGATTTCTTTCTACCCTCTTCATGCTGACCATTCCGACATGATCATTCTGCAGATATTAGCTGTTTTTTTACTTGAATTAATACTTTTTTAGACATTTGTGCTTGATCCACTTTCTTCTTGTCACGTTGTCATGCCAGAAGTGGTTCAGTTGGAGTTTCCCTGCAATGTGAACCCTTGGAACTGAACCATAGACTGTATATATAAAGAACTGAACTCATCTTGTGTGACAGTGTTTCCTCTTATCTTCAACCGCGACTCCATGTCTTTGTAACTTTACTCAAAGGTCAGCCGGGCCATGGCCACTTTTCCCCTTTAGTGTGGCAGAAGTGTCCGATAACAGGCACACACACACACACACACACGGTGGAGTGACAGCAGATAGCTTGTTGTTGTGGGTGTTTCCTGATGCCTTGCCACTTTTCCGCAAGGCATCAACACCTGACATGAAAACCAAGACCTCATCCACTGCAGCAATGACACACACACACACACACACACACACACACACACACACACACACACACACACACACACACACACACACACACACACACACACACACACACACACACACACACACACACACACACACACACACACACACACACACACACACACACACACCACACACACACACACACACACACACACACACACACACACACACACACACACACACACACACACACACACACACACACACACACACACACACACACACACACACACACACACACACACACACACACACACACACACACACACACACACACACACACACACACACACACACAACTCACATTGCTAGGCAGCACTTCCACTGTAGTGTTGTAGAATTTATCTGCACTGGTCTCAATATTTCCGCTGCGAAACAGATACCTACAGTAAAGAGAACAGAGCGCTGTAATGAGCAGGAGTAAATGTGTGCAAACATATCATCATCAAATGTTTCACATTCAATCATTTCATTCTGAAATGCCCTCGTAAACAAAAGCAATATGTACATCATCAGTAGCATTAGGACAATTGTTCACTTTCACTTCTCCTATACTATTATAGGGAATGGGGACCGCGGTGCATTCTGGGGCGTAGCGGCCATCTTTGGAGGATAGTGTCTATCCCTGCATAACTAGTCGATTAACTTGCATCCCTGCTTCCCTCACTTGCAAAGGGAGAGGACGCAAGGACATGTGTTTTAAGAGTCCTTTCCTCGGAGCGCCACGTTAAGCGACTTCTGTTTGTGAAGACAGCTGAAGCATCTGGATCAGCTGTCAGTCGCTGCAGAGACCTCTGATGGAAGTTGTGTTTGCAGACATGTTCGCTGATCTACTACGAATAAAATGCACACCGTTATCTCTGCCAGAGCAGCAGCAGTGTGTTACTGTTTGTTTCACACACACCTGCACATTAATAACCCCTGCTCTCTGTAATTATTCTCTGTACTGTGTCCTGCTGAGCGGACCTGTTCTACCGGCAGAATGCCTTTATATTATTCATTTAGTCTACATTAATGTATCCTGAATGTTGAACACTGACAAGGCCAGTAGGGTGTTAAAACCCAACACTCACAAATGGTGAGCCTGAATGAAAATGACGATAAATACAAATAAAATAATAAATATATATAGATGAAGACAGTTGTATGTGGTCAGTTTGGTTGTTCAGATGCATTATCACTTATTTTCAACTTGATGATCAATTATTTGAAAAACAAACAGTACAAACTGAGGAGTGATTCCCCTGAGTTGAATGTGTTATCTACAACATGTACGTTAACACATCACCACATTCTGTTTTCACACGGCACTAAACCACCCAACACTGAGAACACAGACTGCATGTGTGTTAAGTGGGTGTGTTTTGAAGCAACAGTAGGTCATTCAAAGGTTGAATAGAGTTCATATTAATTGAAATAACAACATGTGGGTCCTTGGTGCCTTGCACCAGTCATGTTTGCCTTGTCCATCAATGTGCTCAGGCCCGGAAACCTCAATGACTCTTTCTCTAAGACCATCAGGGGGATTTTTGTATAATATAATATATATAATTGGGTTTATTGGAGTCCCAGCTTTACAGTCATACCCAAATTGTCCAATTCCAAGGCAGTGGAGGGACCAGAGTATGCAGAAACATTTAAAACATAACTTTAAAAAATGAAGAGAAAATAGCACACTGCATGCAAAAACCTGCATTATTTTTGCCTCAAACTGATTTTAATATTAAATGAGCAGGTTTGTAAAGAAGAGAGTCGTGGATATCCATAGAACACATTTTCATTCAGATATCTTGAGTGCATAGAGTATGGCTATTCCAGTTGTTTCTTCTTCGGAGTGTTATTTAACCCACAAGCTTGCATGACATTGTTGTTGCCAATAGATTTCTTAGTTGTTGTATTTTAATTTCATAAATCATAAAGCCTTGTAAAGACAGGGTAAACAGGAAGTTATCCAAGTCATAAGTCACCAACTGGATTCAACTAAGCCAATCTGTAAGAGCCTTCCATTGGATAATTACTGCTGTGATGAATATGTTTCAACTGGCAACAAGTTATTTAACCCCAGCTAATGCTGTGAGTAGCTTCTCATTTCTTAAACAACCATGTCAGAAGACATATCCTGTGGTCCTGGAAAGGATGTTAATCAGTCTCAGAAGGGTCAAATGATTGGCCTGCATCAAGCAAAGAAAACAACTAGAGATTGCTGAAGCTACTAATCGGGTTAAGAACTGTCAAACGCATTACTAAAACCAAATCAATGAATCCAGATGTATCCTGTTCCAGAATGATGGGCGCTTCAGTACAAGATCTTGGTGGAAAATTAATGCAATTCTGAACAGAAATACATTTTGAGACATTGCAGCAGCTTCTCGATACGACGAATGAATTTAGTTGGACCGATAAAGCTAAAGGCGGTCCAACAAAATAGTAGTGGAGTACACTGGCCGTGTAGAAGGATATCATCTGTGAACAATGGAATGCTGTTGGAGTTCTTTTCCCCGGGTTTAACTGCATGTTGAAACAGGTTAACACAGGTGTGTTTTGAAACTGACCTGGTCATGTTGATGGGCTGGGTGAAGTTGAAGAGGATGTAGTCGTTCTTGATGGGTGTTAATGCCCAGAAGAAGTCCTTTCCTGTGTACGCCCGCTCCAGACTGTGCTGCTGGTAATGTTTCAGGCTGCTGCTGACCTCTGCAGCCGGGTTACTGTGAGCCTGATACAGAGCCTGCTTTTCAAAGTCTTTGTCCTGAAAACCCCACAAATGATCAATAACGATTCATTACAGAAACAACTGGATGTGGCTTACACTTAAAGAGGGCGACACCCTCTTAGTTCAAACATGTCCACAGCTCCTTCATCCACACAGCAGACAAGGGCCTGCACTGCATGCTACTTTCACACATCAGGGTTCTTACCTATAGTTACATAAGGCATATATGCAGTGAGCTGGTCGTTATTGCGAAAGGGACCCAGACAGTGTGAACAGTACATGAGTACTAAAGGGGATCCTTTTGCAATGATGGCCTGCTCACTGCACATTATCCCACTTATTACGTGAATTCATATTCCAAAATATTCTGAAGGAGTAACGCACGCAAAACACATTTGTTTCTCTGGTCTCATATGAAAAAAGTCAATTTAGCAGAGAGGTAATATGACTGGGAGTAGACCTGTGTTCAATCAAGTATTCAATAAGACATGTAATGATATACATGTTGAACTCTATACTATATGCATGTGACAAGTGATGAGTTTGGGACCGGAATTCTATAAGGGTCTCATAAATTGGAGCAAGTGAGCCCAACTTCACTCATAATATCCGTGTTTGAACTGCACTAAAAGATGTGTCAATCAAAAGGTGAGCAGGAGGCCTGCATGTGAAAGATGGCTCTAACAAGTGACATGTCATGTGATGTAATGTGTACTTATAGTGTGAGATGCTTTTAAAAAAGATCTGCAGCATTTATTTTACAGTATCAGGCAACACTACAAAGTCCTCATTATTATGACAGGAAAGATGCTATCACAGTTTCAGCTTCAGTCAGGAAGGCACTCACCTTCAGATACTGGATCTTCCCGTGCAGAGAGGAGTGGAGGCCCACATGCTGGAAGAGGGAGGGCTTGTATCTCTTCTTATGCAAAGCCTTCTGTTGTGTACAGTGTTTCTGGATGAGACAACACACCATCGTCAGAAACTCAACTTCATTATCAGTATCCTTAACTTCTCAGGTATGTACTATTTATCAAACATTTTACATTTTTTGCAAGCTGGTATCTTATGATGTACATTACTGTGTTTCATAAACACTATTGAGTATTCTTTTTGTGCTGTTGCCAACATTATTTCCCTCTCAGAGGTTGCTAAGGTTATGAGGAATCTTTAAAGAGGCCCTTTTATGCAAATGTTCAGGATCGTACTTGTAATTTGAGCCTCTACTGGGACATGTCTCCATGCTTTAATGTTCAAAAGGCTCTTTATGTTTCTCATACTGCCTGTGCTGCAGCACCTCTTTTCACCCTCTGTCTGAAACCAGAGCCCAGTCTGCTCCGATTGGTTAGCTGGCCGGCTTTGTGGTGATTGGTCAACCGCTTACAGATGTCCTGCCCCTTAGCCTATCACGTACAATGTGTTGGAGCGCTGGCCAATAGAAGCACAAGTGTTATATAGTGATATCACTATGTCACAAATTGTGGGGGACTTTAGTCTTTGCAGACCATTTACATGCACAAAAAGCTATATAACAAGGTTAAACATTTCCTGTTTCCTTACTACAGGAAATGGAAAACTTAATAGGGCTTCTTTAAGGAATAAACTAAGCACCTGTATAATCTGCATTCAACTGTCCCCATCTAATACTCTACACCTATTTCACAATGAGCTGGGTTGATTTCAGCTCAGCTCTCAACACAATCTCCCCTTTGAAACTGATGAAGTTAAACCAAAAGCTAGGTCCTGTTCACGCTGTACACCCATGACTGCAGCCCTCGAAAAAAGAAATCTAAAGCAATGGAAAAGGCACTACAATCGTTGGCCGGAATACAAACAAGGATGAAACCTAATGTATAGAGAATATCAAGACGAGCAGAGTGGAGATAAGAGAACAACTTAATAACAAACACAAATATCCTGTATGCTTCATCATGAGCTGGTTCGCACAACTGACTTACTGCGTCTTTCTCTGGGTTGCAAGCTTTCACCCACAGGATGTGATCCAACAGCCAGTCCACTGGTTTGTCTTTGTGGAACATCAGGAAGAACTCCGTAATCATCGGGAGGTCACCGGTTCGAAACATCTTGCCTGAAGGATGAGAGATGAGTGAGAGAGTGAGTGAGTGAGTGAGTGAGTGAGTGAGTGAGTGAGTGAGTGAGTGAGTGAGTGAGAGTGTGTGAGTGAGTGAGTGAGTGAGTCAGTGAGTGAGTGAGTGAGTGAGTGAGTGAGTGAGTGAGTGAGTGAGTGAGTGAGTGAGAGTGTGTGAGTGAGTGAGTGAGTGAGTGAGTGAGTGAGTGAGTGAGTGAGTGAGTGAGTGAGTGAGTGAGTGAGTGAGAGTGTGTGAGTGAGTGAGTGAGTCAGTGAGTGAGTGAGTGAGTGAGTGAGTGAGTGAGTGAGAGAGTGAGTCAGTGAGTGAGTGAGTGAGTGAGTGAGTGAGTGAGTGAGTGAGTGAGTGAGTGAGTGAGTGAGTGAGTCAGTGAGTGAGTGAGTGAGTGAGTGAGTGAGAGAGTGAGTGAGTGAGTGAGTGAGTGAGTGAGTGAGTGAGTGAGTCAGACACACACAAAACAAGGCTCATTATGTGGAACGACTTCCCACTTTAATGCTAAGACACACAGACACACACACCTATAAATCCGAGCTGGGAGAACTCCAGGAAGAGCCATTGCTTGGAATCATTCAGGGTGGCGAAGGTCTTCATGTTGTTGAAGTAGCCGGCCTTCGCAACAACATCATCCTCTAACTGCAACACACAGGACACAAGAACGTTTGAAAGAGTGACTACGCCACATCATAAAACCTTTACATTCATTTGAAGGCTGCAGTCAAACCACTCTCTGTGGCAGAGAATTATGAAGTCAAATCAGACTTAATATTAGTATTAGTGGATGCACTTGCAAAGATTCATAAATGTATTTTGTGATTTAAACATAAATGCTTCTATTGCCGCTTCAATTAACACAATAATTGGTCATTATATGTGCACTATTATTAGGCAAGTGAGTATTTTTTTTAAATCTCAGAAATGTTTATTTGTACATTTTGAGTTGTTTGTTTGTTTATTATTCTCACTTTAACAGATGAGAATAAACCAGTGAGATGGGAACATTTTCGTTGTTCCTCTAGTTGCATAATAATCCTGAACACTAATAGTTGCCCAATAATTGTGCACACATAGATTTTCTCCTTAGAAAGCCAAAACCTCACTTTTACTTAAATTACATTTTGCATTGACCAAGAGCACTCTAGTTGTTCAATCATAACATAATCCTCAAAAGCACAACTTGCCTAATTATTGTGCATGCAGTGTATATACAGGGTTTGAAAATACGGTTCACAAATATATTTCCGATAGACACAAATCTTCACTATTTTCAATAAATGTAATATAAATGGTGAAGTATATGTATTTAAAAGTATTTGCATGTTGTTACAGTAGGACACACACTGTTCAACTTTGACACTCCCCTGAAGTTGCTCTATTCGCAAATTACTTTTTTATCACATGAGCGCTTCAAGGTGTGGTGGAAACTTCTGTGTAGCAATGCAGTGGGAGTCACCGACTCAGGAAGGAGACACGGGGAGAGCTGGAGCTTTGATGTCAAACACTGATGGTTTATTTAGGAGCTTCGGCCGGAGAATTCACAAGACAAGTCAGGAGTCAGACGTCTGACTTCACGATAGAGTTGCCACGTCAATTCTGAAGAGCCTCTCTCTCGATAGACCTTTTAACTAGTTCAGAGAGAGTAATCAACATTTTTGGGGAGATAGACTAAACAGCTGGGAACACTGAATTACTTGCGTCTGATGCTTATGGCCTCGAAGATTTCACACCTTGGAGTCCACAAACCCCAAGAAGGAAGTGTTCCAGTGTACCCACAACAATAAACCATTTGTGACCGAGAGTTGCCCGCTCACAAACTGGTAACAACATATGGCTGAAGCAGCCCCTTTCCTTAAGGGAGATAACAGACGTCAAGGTTGGTCATAAACGTCAAAGGGCAAAAGGTGGATATCTAGGAGAATTATTCCCCAACACAAGGGTATTAGTTAAAATGGCAAAGCTAGTTGCAGTAACGCAGCCTTGTAATTGGAGGCCTTACATTCAAATCCATAGAAAGGTGCAGGGCGCTGTGCTGTGACACCAATGTGCTTTCCTACGCTGTGACAAAAGTGGTTGGATAAAGAATTACGTTTGACTAATTTAGCGTCTAGCTTATTAGATAGCTAGTTGGATCATTCCAGCATGCGGATACTCTGGTTCGGAACCTGGAAACCAGATGGAAAGGAATCCCTCACAAACTGCTCAGTGAGATAGCTTTGGCATATTGGTCCAAAAGGTTTTGTGACCACCAGTGCTGAAATAATCAAAGGTGGGCAGATAAGTCTGTAAAGATCCCCAAAATAAGTCAAACAAAGGGATACAGCAACTTGATTGAAGGCTACATCCACAACGTGGAAGAAAAGACGCCGGCACCCAGGCTTGTTACCATTTGACTTCAGCTGAGGTAAGTTAGAATGTAGTTAAAGAACACACGCCTTGGCTTACAGTCTTGACATTACAATTAAATGTTTTGTCTGCAGGTTTAGCGTTAGTCTTATTTTCCTGCGAACGGACATCAGTCAGGGGCATGCTGGGTAGTGGATCCTAGCTAGCTTAGCCCCCATCCCGGCGCTGCAGCTTCTAGGAGGTCAGAAGAGGTCTTGGGCGTGGATTGTCTTGTGTTACCTGCATTTCATCCAATCTCCATGCTTCATTTTCCAAGTTGGTGAACGCATATGATCTTCAATCCAGTTGCTGTTGCATTTGTCTGCATTCTTTTGGGTAGCTTTACGGACTTCTATGCCTTCGTTTGATAGTTTCAGCAATGCACAAGACAGAAATATGTGAAACTCATTTTTACCAAAACAGCTGTCTGACTTGTTTCTTGGGGTTCCCTTCCATTCCTGGGCATAGCGTAATAAATCATGCCGCGTAGTGGCGCACTCATCTGATTGGCTAAAATAGAATGGAAGTACACACACGACTAGCAGTTTCTAAATGCAGGCTCAACAGTTTGTGAATAGTTGTAACAACATTCAAATGTGTTTTTGATGAACATTTTTAAAATACATGTACATTTGGATTTCTTTTACATTTGCTTGAAGCAGGAAATGTTTGTGTGTGCGCATCAGAATTATATTTGTGATGGATTTATGACCCCATTGAAAAAGTATTTTATGATATTTTATGTTGAACACTGGCGGATATTTGTTAGTTTCAAACGAACACTACCAGGAGCTGTGTTTGGTTAAGTTGAATACAGCATATGGTCATCTGACATCAGTGTTTATCATTTAACAGTCTGAATGTTGGGTTGTATTTCCACATTATGTAAATTGTATTTACATATCATTTGAGGCACATCAATAACTATCGGACCTTTGAACCCTACCTGAACATAGAATGTTCCTTTGTCGTGAGCGTAGAGCATGAGGAAGCTGAAGTCCAGATTCTGCTTTGTTCGCCATCTGATAAAAATACAGGAAAGCTACACACGTGAACACACAAACATGGATCTGTCTTTCACTTTAGACCAGGGGTGTCCAAACTGTTTTCACTGAGGGCCACATACAGAAAACATACGAAGGGCTGGGTTACTTATAGAGGTGAGGTATACTGCCTCCTAAGTTAAGTTATGAAATGTAGGTAAATGAAGCTTGATACTTGAATATGCTTTAAGAAACAGCCTCCATCACAGCTCTCCAGACGGATTCATTTGTTGTGTTACTCATGCCCCTTTTCCACCAAACCGGATCCGGTTCAAGATCTGTTCTTGTGCTTTTCTGGTGCTGAACTGGTTCTTCTCTGTAGCACCACTTGTGTTTCCACCGAGCCCGACTGGTGCTGCCGCTGCTGCGTCATAACGTCACCGTTTACGTCGGTTTACGTTTCTCCCAAACACCGCTCGCAACAACAACAACAACAATGAAGGACTGCGTCAGGTCGATGATCGTGTTGCTTTTAATCATACGAAGCCAGATTAAATGAAATAACTACTTCTCAACCCTTATACTTTTCTCCAGAGTGCCGTGGTTCATTGTTTATTAATGTGTTTCAGCGGCATTTACCGACCGCTGCAGTGCTGCTCGTCCACCGGAGTTTAATCTACCGTTAACTCACGGCAGAGTTTAGTCTACCGTTAACTCACGGCAGAGTTTAGTCTACCGTTAACTCACGGCAGAGTTTAGTTTAACTCTTGGCAGCGACCGCTGGAAAGCATTCACTGTCTGACTGTCACACAAGCCTGATAAATATCCCCCATTCCCATAAATGAATGTGTTTCAGTATGAATTGATTCCATCCGATAGCTGCTATAATACAAAACAACAGGAAAACGTCTGCCTGCTCTCCACAATGATCAATAACAGCGAACAGATGGTCATTAAAGTACGAAAATGTAACAGAATCACACTAAGCGTGGTTAGTGTTGCCTGACTTTATAAAGTGTGTTTTTTTCACAAGTGTGTAGTCACGTTCTAGTCGATTTGCTCAGCGCTACTGCTTGTTACAACTTTTATTTGCCGTACTCGCCATTAACTGTTATTGCTCAGGTTAATCTCGTCAGAAGTAAGCGTGAAGTATTGGTTCTTGGTTCTTGCCGGGCAGCCGAGTGGGGTCAGCTAAGAACCGGTTTTCGGTGCTTAGAGCCGGCTCCGCTGCGGTGGAAACAGGAAGAACCAGAGCTAAATCAGGCTGTAGCCCAGAACCGGCTCTGGAAGCGGTTTGGTGGAAAAGGGCATAAAAGAGTTGTAGCTCATTCCTTACAACAGGAGCCTCATATTGGTTACAATAAGGGGAAATATGGAGGGTCTATTTCAAGTTATGGAAATAAGTTATTGTTAGAAAAAATGTTCAATTTGATCTGACTGAATTTATTTGAAAAGTGATTTTATTAACACATGAATACTACTGTGTAATAAAGTTGTACATATTTAAGAAGTAAAATATAAGACAAGCACCATTTTCAGGTGTGGGCCATATTCCATTGTACTTTTAAAATTTGCTGAATGCCAATTCAAAATGGACCACTGGCCACAGTTGGCCCCGGGCCGTAGTTTTGACACCCCTGCTTTAGACAGACAGATGAGAAATAATACAATTCTAATGCACCCTATAGTGCTTATTCACTGACATATTGTTATCCTATTGCAACACAGACACAACAAAGACAAGTATGCCAGGAAGGGGAATAAAGTTAGAAATATCAAAGTTAACAATAGCTACGATTTTAGCAATTGAAATAAATTACAATACAAATGGTGAACGTACTTGACTCTGTCCTTGGAGTCTCCTAAGGTCTCTCTGAGGAGGGTGAAGTTGGGGTAGTAATGCTGATGAGGAGAGACAACCTCCAGCAGCCCGGACTGCACCTGTTTGGGAAAACTACAAAAAAACACAGCTGGTTAACTATCTGACAGCAAACTGCAAAAGGATTCACAACAAAATACCTGAATCAAAACATGATTAAACGCCATATTATGTTCCAAACCACATCAAGGATTATTTCTGAAACAGTATGGAGCTCAAACGCTTTTTCTCTTACGGGTTTACCACAAGGTGAGTTCCTTTTTATATCCCGCTTTTTTACACATACAGTACAGTGTTAGCTCTGAGTGTTAGCTATGCTTGCTAATGTAAACAAAGGTCATATTACTTCCAAAACACGTCGGGCATTGTTTCTGATAGGGGACGATAGGCGGGACGTTGCCAGGAGTTCAACGTTTTTAGAGATTTGGGTACGGAGGAAAAGAGAAAGGGTTTTATTTTCTGACACTTTGTGAGTCTCCTTACACACTGGGGACTAGGGCTGCCCCCAATTAGTCGACTAAACATTAGTCGGCGAAAAAAGTATTTGTCTTTGTATGAAGCGTCAGCCGGAAACCCCCTCAGACTTCATTCAGAGCGGAGCCTGGTCATTAATGGCGCGTTTCCACTGCAGCGTGGAGCTTGCTTTAAGCGTGCTGAGCCGTGCGGGGCCAGTTTTTGGTTGCGTTTCCACTTGGCCTAGTACCGGCTAACGGGTCCTAATTCACAGTTTTTCTGGCCCCATAACATCGTGGTTCTAGGGCCAGGAACAACCAGGCTGAGTCGGGCTGAGTATGCTAAACTAGAGAGAATCGCTGGCAAGGGGGCTACAACTACAACAAGATGGACATATTTGACCGTGATTTAATTGTAATACACGTTTCAAAATGATGCCGAAGTAACAACATACTGATACCGGTTAGTAAAAACCATGAATTAATGCTTTGACAAGTCTGCAGACAGACGGCAGGCGAAAAACCTTTTAAAATGCGTGTTTTCTAAATGGAGATCGGCTAAGCTAACGCAGTGTATGCTCCGACCGTCCACACTCACAACAACGGCCTATACAGACATAAATAAAGCAGCGACTGTATTCACCATGACACAGACAGTCTGTGGTTTGTACTTGTTTCACTTTTGTCTAGTTTCTGAACAGATATGAGGAGCTGTGAGCTTGAGTGCTAACAGCTAACGGCTGATGTTGGTTTTGTGTTTCGCATTGAAGATGACGTCACGGCTCCGCCTACACTGCGTTACTATAGTTACTACCCCAGTTCCTAAACTGTAATGGAAATAAAAAAATTTAAAAAAGTGAGCCAGTCCTGACAAGGCCTAACGAGGCCTAGCCATACCGAGCGAGGCCGAGCGAGGCCGTGTAGTGGAAATGCGCCATAAGTTAATTTGGTCGGGCAGGAAATCCAAAGTGTGGATCTTTCTGAGCGAGTAAAGGACGAGCAAACTATGACGGCAAAAAGTCTCCTCCTGCACACCATCAGAGTGCAGCTTCCTGAATGCTGGCTTCAAAACAAAACATGGAGCTTCATTTTCCCAACGACAACATGTGTTACTTTCTTAGCCTCGGAGGAAAACAGCTGCAGTGAGTCAGGCAGTAAGTAGCCTAGCTTTGTATCAACATATATAGACCTATAATATATAATCATTCTGACCTCAGAAAACGATAACGTTTTAATTTCATGATGAGGGCGTAATGCGCGGAGGGATTTTTGCCGACGCTCATATTTTCAGTTTTTCCGTTTTCCTATTTATTGGGTTGTTATATTCAGATATGAATAATAGAAACTAGAGATGGCAAATCCGGATCCTTTTACGGACTCAGGGTCTTCTGAGTCAGTCATTGAAGAGATCCGGATCATACGAGTCATTTGAGTCATATGAGTCATATGAGTCAGCATCACCAAGACCGTAGAAATCCTATCGGTGAAACCGAAAAGTTGTTGCATTTCACGAGCATATTAAACTGACGTTATATTAACCTCCGCTACACAGTGTCTTTTGCTTTAATAAAAAATGTTGATCACAAAAAAAAGGGTTATTTTGCGATTTGGCAAATCAGAGTCTGCTGTTGACTCGTGCATGAGGACGAGTCTGCTGGATCTCTGGATCTGCTGCTATATGGTTACGGCTCTGAGTCCGCACGAGTCTGCTGTGTTTTGCACAGTGAGTCAGGATTTGCGAATCTGAGTCTGTGAAGTTCCGCTGACTAACTCGTAGGCTACTGGTCTCTCTCGATCATTGACCTGGATTCACGGATCCCGCGATTTTGATTAAGTCCATTATGTTTCCGGCTCTAAATGAATTTCAGTGTAGACTTCTAACAAAATGGTCATGTTGTGCAACAGTCTCCTGCGTGTAATAGCTGCATTTCCAATAAGGATCTTACTTGGCAAAACGTTTATTTTGAACATAGCACACAAAAAGAAACAAACAATGACAAATGATAGAAAATTGCAAAACAGTTAGAATATATAAAATGTCTTAATTATACAATTATTATTATTAAACATATAATTATATCTAATCATATGCCCCCCATATTTTCTCATGGACTGCGTAATCATTGCAATGCTGGTGTTTGTATGTGTTAAATGTGTGTAAAGTGGTGTCTTTTGCTTTAATAAAACATATTGATCACAAAAAAAAGGTCATTTTGCGATTTAGCGAATCTGAGTCTGCTGTTGAATCGTGCATGAGGACGAGTCTGCTGGATCTCTGGATCTGCTGCTATACGGTTACGGCTCTGAGTCCGCACGAGTCTGCTGTGTTTTGCACAGCGAGTCAGGATTTGCGAATCTGCGAATCTCTGAGTCTGCTGTTGACTCGTGCATAATATAGCGGCGGGAGCCGGGTGCTGGAGGAGGGGCTATGCTCGTGCACATGGCGAGTATGGATCTCTGGATCTGCTATGTTTTTACGGTTAGGAGCCGTCGGCTCCTCTGAGTCCCCACGAGTCTGCAGGAAGTTTCACTGATCCGCGTCCCCTCCCCTGAGCCAAACGATAACTTCTGGCAGGCAGCTATCCTACTTGCTAAAGGGTAGGCAGATGGACTGGGGTACGTTGTAATGTGATTTTACATGTTATAAAGAGAGTAGCGAGTGACGCAATTTATAGTTTTAATTTGTACGTCACACCAAGTGTGGGACTCAAGGACTCGGGTTAATGGAGAGGGGAGACTCGTCACGACCAGCTCATTTCTAGGATCCGGGTTAATGATCCGGATGAATCAGGACTCGCCCATCTCTAATAGAAACTAGCACTTAATTGTTCCGTGTGTGTCCTCGCTGCTTGTTCACACACACAATAAGAATCCTTACCGAAGCTTCTGCTGTTTGTACCGCTGCGTATGTGTGGTGCGCTTTGAGTCATGCGCTCTCTACATTTAATTTATATTTCAAAGGTTCATTATTACAGTTTTATTTTATATTTTATGTGAAGCAAAACGTACCATGCTGTTATAATAACGCTCTTTATCAGCCTTTGAAACTGAAACCATTTTGGGAGAAAAAAAAGAATTCAAACATTTTTATATATTTATAATCATAATATATCATAAACGTGCGACGATTAGTCGACTAATCGCCTTAATTGACGACTATTGGTCGACTAGAAAAATCTTTAGTTGAGGTTAAAGGTGGGGTAGGTAAGTTTGAGAAACCAGCTCGAGTGCGCAAGAATTTGAAAATACACAACCGGAAAAAATCTGCCACTTCCTTATAGAGCCCCTCCTTCAACACACACAAACGCGCACATGATCAATGAGGGCACGAGATAAGTTTGTGCACAGATGGAAGGCTGACAGGCAGGTAGGCCATCCAGTTATTTTAGCCAGGCCGGCTAAAATGATTGGTTGTACTTTTTACTAGGGATGCTCCGATCGATCGGTCACCGATCGAGATCTGCCGATACTCACTCTCTACCGATCGATCGGTGCTCTCTAAACATGCCGATCGCGAGGGCCGATCGCATGACGTAAAATACATGACACTTTTCTCTGTACGCGGCAAAACAAGCTCGCCAAAATGGCTTCACCGGTCTGGCATTATTTTAAGGTGTCCGAAAAAGACAGTAAAATAGCGGTATGCAACGTGTGTGTGAAGCAGAAATCCTGCAGCTCCACCCGCTGTGACGGAGCGGTGAGCGGAGCGAAACACACAAGAGTTAGACCTAACACACTTAGCTATTTTATCTACCTCTGGAACAAGCTAAACTAGTTATAAATATGTTTATTCTTCACTGTCGGCCTCACACATTACTGGACCAGTGAGCTGCATGAGACGATACTGACGGGCTGTCAGGAGAGGGAGAGAGGGGGAGAGAGAGGGGGAGAGAGGGGGAGAGAGAGAGGGAGAGAGAGGAAAAGAGAGCGCTTGCTCATTTCTCCCGTGTTATTATCCAAAGTGAATGTAAACTTGAATAATATACATAATTTGAATGTAATAATTAAGTTGATTGTTGTTTGTGGAAGCTCCAGTGAATGAGCCCCATTAACTGAGTTTTAAACATCACTTTAAATGGAAGATTTAAAGTGATGTTTCAATCTTCCATTTAGGCCCCGCCCACTCGATCGGATCGGCGATCGGTCCCAAAATTGGCGATCGGAGCATCCCTACTTTTTACAGTACTACGGCTTCCACAGATGACATTTTTTTATGGATTTTTTGTCAAAGCACTTAAGATATTCATTGCTATCGGGATGTTAAGAGCATTCCATGGAATATAACAAAAAGTGTATCTCGAGCCGGTTTCTCAAACTTACCTACCCCACCTTTAATCCTACCGGGGACACATATTTATGTATAATAGACATCAAAGAGTGCATTTTGCATGATGGGTGACCTTTAACAACAGGACACAGGTGAACATCTGAGGGCGCATTTCAAACAGGAAATAATGTGTGAAATCATTACTTGTTTTCCACATCATCCCACTTCCTTTTTTTATCTTTTAGCCTAGCGCTCGTGCTCTATAGTGAACAATGCTATTCAGCTCCTATGATGCTTTGGCAGTCTTTATGGGTTTGAATCCACATCTGGAGGGTAATGCTCACATTGTCCCAATGGCTTCCCAATTGTGATCTTGTCGGAAACTTAAAATGTGTTTTACTTACTCTACAGTTGCATTACATGACACAAGGCATAAAGATGTTTGGACATTACACTAGCTTTGTGAGCCCATTCAATCCGTTTCAAATAAAGAAATCACATGTTAGTGTAAGGTCTAAAAGCACACATTGTGCATTGCTGCTGGACTGTATATAGATCAGACAGATCACAACTGCAGCTGCTTGTACTGTGATCATGAAGTCTATGCAGTATGATAAGAGAAACAAATCTGATCACGTGAGCAAAAGCAAGATACATTTCGGATGGATTTCATAGCCAGTGGGTAACATGAAAAAGAAGAGACACGGAAATGCCTTCACTTGTTTTTTACCTTTGTTTTCAAGATGCCACTAAGAACTCACATTTTTTTTATTTGGGGTTAGTCATTCATAAAGTGATCACCCTTTTAGAATGGTCCAACACTGGATAAGAAATGAACCAAAGTACAGGATGAGCAGGGAAAACAAGTCGAACCCTTCCAAATGTAACCAATGGGGTTATTTATTTAACTGAAAAACCTTTTAGAAACATTTCAAGTAAAACATTCTAAAGAGGCTAAATGCTGTAAGAGGCTAACAGAAGACATGAACCAACTTTAAGGTGGTGCCCCATATGTGAGGCATTCCAGAATCACTCACTTGGTCTTGATGGTCTCTGCTACGCTGCCCACATAGTCTGAGTCCGTCTGGGACAGGGAGAGAAACAGGAGAAAGTCAGTGATGAAGTAAATCAGGATTAAAATAAAGATGGACCTTTATTAATCCCTGAGGGGAAATTCAGTTTTTCAATCTAGTGTTAGTTTACAATTACACACATAGGCCGAAATACACACACACCTGCACAAACAGGACCTACAGTATATACATGCACTGATGAAGAGGTGGTAGAGCAAAAGGGCAGTCCGGTGCCGGAGCAGTTGGGGGTTTGGTGCCTTGCTCAAGGACACCTCGGCAGGGCCCAGGAGGTGAACTGGCACCTCTCTAGCTACCAGTCCACACTCCGTAGGCAAAAACAACCAAAAGCCATTATTATTACTAAATAAAAAGGGTTTATTCAATTGTTTCAGAAATTGTCAAAATGCCAATACTGTTGGACGTGACAATAGAACAACACGAAGTTGAAGATTTGACCATCCTATGTCCTGATGCACCAAGCCTATTATCAGACATCGTTCAAGCTGGAGGCATCAATGAGCGTCTGTCGGCCATGTTTTTGTGTCTGACACTTTTTTGAGTGATGCATACAGACCACCAGGCCAGAACAACAGAAAACAGATTATTCTTGGTGGTGGGGACTGTTACTCCCGATTTGCATGTCTGCCTGATTTGCACTGCGCAAGCGCAAGTTGTTTCTCCATATTGGACAGCTACGTACAGCAAGCAAAGTAAGACATTTGACACAGCGGCGTTTCGCAAAGAAAAAAAACCGACCACATTCATCTGAACGAGAGAGATGAGTTAATGTTATTACAATTGTTATTGTAATTTCCCGATTATTTGAGAAGAAATCGTTGTATTGGGTTAAGTACATTCTTAGATTAAGTGAGAAATGGATTTAACTTCTGTTTGACAGCTATCATACTGGAGAAATAAGAAACTGTAAATGTATGCAATCATTTATGGCATTAATAATTAATATCTAATTCTTAACTGTGAATGGTTTTCATTTATTTAATATTAGAAATGTATTAGTCTTGCCAAACCTTTTCTGTTGAGATTTCTGGAAAAGGGAAATTACTTTTCATAAAAAAAGTTGATTCAAGAACAAAACGAGGGGTTACGTATGGTAACCCTTGTTATATAAACACAGGCGGAGCCCTCTACTGGACTCTATGGGTACTCCCCTTGATCCTATCATGCAAGCATTCATCCACTGAGACTTTCTAGACGTAGCCGGCCCCGGGGCGGGCCTACCTGAATGCGCGCGCATCTCACCGCATAAAAGGAGGCCTCGCCTCCTGACTGTCATCCTACACTTCTATTCAGCAAGCAGCATAGGGCAGACAGGGCCCCTGAGTAGAGGGCTCCGCCTGTGTTTATATAACAAGGGTTACCCCTCGTTATATCTCTCACAGGCTCCGCCATCTACTGGACTCTATGGGTACAGTGGGCGGAGCCCCGATGTATACACGCGCTGTCGTCCCACAACAACACTGTTCCATCTCACTGTCTCTGACCGGCTTTCTGGTTAGCAGCCGCTGCGCCTCACTCACCTCTCCCTCGGCCGTAACCATGGAGAAAAATTGGGGCTGCGGCTGACACCCTGACACGCTTACCCCGCGGAGGTGTGCTGTGACGTGGAGGACTCCCCCCTCCTGCCCTAAGCAGGGGGAAAGAGTCCTCCAGCCCCTATGGGCCCAGCGCGCGTCACGGCATTACGCCCGAGGAGGAGGTCAGATGCCCACTGACCCACAGCCCCCCTCCCTCCTCACCAGTCCTGCGTTGCCCCAGCAAGCACAGACGATGAAAAGGAGCCAGACATGTACAAGAGATAAAACTTTATGGAGGGGCCTGGCGTTGACCAAGACGCCGCCGTGCATATGTCCTCCACACTCACGCCGTTAAATAAGGCTGTTTAAAGGGGACCTATCATGTAAAATGCACTTTTGTACGTCTTTTATACATGAATATGTGTCCCCGTTGTTCCAGGGAACTCACCAAGTGTCAGAAAACACAACCCTCTCTATTTTCCTCCATACCCAAATCTCTAAAAAAGGGGCTGCAACGGATCTGATAAAAACTGATCCAGATTTGAACACTTCAATGACGTCACAGAAGTGGCGCTACGGCTATTGGGCCAAATCTCCACCTATCAGGGGAATGTGGGGTTGGGCCACGGCCGGCCATTGCCGCTCGAAAGCGCTGGAGTACATATACATGTAGTACATATTCCAGGCCTGTAAGTGGCGCTGTAGTCTGCCACAAAAGCAGCGAAGAAGACTTCCCGCCCATAGTTACCATGGTTACCCTTCTGTTTATTCTCCGCTGTGGCTTTTTTTCCCCTCTTGACTTGATCAGAGCACGGCTCCCCTCTCCTGCAGGGGGGCGTGGTCAGCTGCAGCTCACAGAGATCAGCCCCGTAGACAGCAAACAGCACATAGAGCGAAATGAGGCATGGCTAAAATGCATGATCTGTTTGGTATTTTGAAAACAGAAACGTATAAATATACCTTATATAGGTATGGCTCTACAATATATCATTTAAATATAGCATGATAGGTCCACTTTACATAAGGCAATTTAGCCTCCCTCGCCCCACTATGGGGTGGAAGATGAAAGCCCCCCAAACTGAATAGCCCTCGACCTGAACGCACTCCTTAGGCTCTTGGGCACAAAGGAGGGGTTCGGTCTGAGTGTCGCCCCACTCTGGTCACCCTGGATCATCAAACAACTCAGGTGCACCGATAGAGCGGTTAACTTGGACACTATTTTGGCTGACGTTAAGGCAAGTAGCAATGCTGTCTTCCACGACAGTGCTTTCAGGGAGGAGAGCTCCAGAGGCTCAAATGTTTCGGAGACCAGAGCCTCGAGCACCAACGGCAGGTCCCACTGCGGGGCGGAGGCGTGCACTACTGGGCGCAGCCTCCTGACCCCCCGTAAAAACCGCAACATTAATGGCTGAGAAAAGGCTGACCTGCCATCAAATCCCTCATGGCAGGACGAGATGGCTGCTGCATACACTTTCACTGTGGAATGAGCAAGCCCTCTGTCCACCAATAACTGTAAGTACGACAAAATAGATCCCAACTCACAAGATAGGGGCTCAATTTTCCGCTCCTCACACCATTGCTGGAATCCAAGCCACTTTGGCCTGTAACAGGCTGTGGTGGATCCAGCTCTAGCTGCCTGGATCGACTGAATAACACTGTCAGACAATCCATCCTGTCTCAGCCTGTCCCTCTCAGGAGCCAAGCCTGGAGAGGTTGGCCCAGAGTGGGTAACGCCCTGATTGCACCTGCCTCTTGAGACATCGCCCAGCAGAACTGGGGAAGCGCCCAGGGCTAGACCACCTTCATCTGTGTAATCTCTGAGTACCACGGAGCCCCAACGCGATCCGGCGCTACTAGGATGACTGCCAGACGTTCTCGCCTCACTCTCCCCAGGAGAGGGAGAATGAGACACAACGGTGGAAAGGCGTAGAGCAGCTTCCTTGGCCATGGCTCGTGTGCAAACGCATGGAGAACCACAGGGGACAGTGGATGTTGCGCTGGCTGGCGAACAGGTCCACCTCTGCTGTCCCGAACCGGGCCCAGATCCACTTCACCACCTCCGGGTGAAGCGCCCACTCGCCTGGCAGGGGTCCGCCCCTCGACATGAGGTCGGCCCCCCTGTTCTCCAGACCCGGAATGTGGAGGGCTCTCAGAGATAATACCACCTCTGAAGCCCATAACCACAGTTTCTCCGCTGTGGTCAACAAAGCGGCGGAGCGGACTCCGCCCTGCCTGTTGATATATGCGACTGTGGTGCTGTTGTTGCTCCTGACCATTACATGTCTCCCCTGAATTAAGGGTTTGAAATGCTGGAGGACTAACACTACTGCCCGTAGCTCTAGGAGGTTGCTGTGCCGTGTCTCTGTTAGAGACCAGCGCCCACCTATAGCCCTCTTCAGGCAGGTCCCTCCACATCCTGTTCCGGATGTGTCCGTAAACACTGTGATGTAGGAGGTCACCCGTCCCAGAGGTTGCCCTCCACTGAGGGGGGATGGTCACCAGGCGCCGTTTGTGTCTCTTGGGATCGAAACGCAGGCTGGAGAACCACCTCTGCAGGCGGCGCATATGCAGTAACCCAAGTGGGACCACAACGTGAGCAGCCGCCATGAGACCCAGAGTCTGCATGACAGTTAAAGCTGTCACTGTTGCCCCCTGTCGCAGTCTGCAAACTGCCCGAAGCAAGGATGCCTGTTTGCTCTCTAACAGGGTGGCACGTAGCCTGCCTGCATCGAGCACCACTCCCAAATACAACGCCTGTTGGTGAGGTATGGGGGTGCTCTTCTTCCAATTGATCGCAAAACCCAACTTGGTTAGGTGTAGGATCAATTGGGCTGTGTAACATATTGCCCGTTCCCTGGACCCAGCCATGACTATGAGGTCGTCCAGATAAAAGAAAACTCTCATGCCACGGCCACGCAGCGGCTGGAGCGCTGTGGCCACACATTTGCTGAACGTGCGTGGGGATAGGGAGTAGCCGAACGGTAGCCTGTTGTACTCGTAGGCTACACCCTGGAAGGCAAAACGCAAATACTTTCTGTGTTTCGGAGCAATCTCGACATGAAAGTAAGCGTCCTTCAGGTCGATGGTTGTGAACCAATCGAGGATATCGATCCGAAGAGCCCTTCCGTGGCAACGGGGGTCCCAAGGATATCGTCTCGGTCTTTCTTGGCCAGTGCGGTCAGACCTAGCCACACGTGATGCGACGCCACGGTGGCCAGGGACATCACACGACCGGCTGCGGTAGCCATACCGTGGACCAGATTATTCATCTGGCCCACGCAGTGGTCCGAGTAATCACTCCCGCCCTCAGGTGGGGGGGCGGAGGTGTCCTGCTGAGGGGTAATCAGCGACACTCCCAACACACCAAGATTACTGGCTGCCATCTGCGCCCCGAGCCTGAACATCTTATCCATCATTATACATGTGTGTTTACACTGCTCCGTTGACCATTGACTTCCGGTAAAAGTTCCTTCAAAATAAGAGTCCCGATCTTATTACTATCAAAATAAAAGTGCAAAACGAAAATATTGGCATACAAATATAATCACTTCTCTAAAAGGTAACTAATTTTAAATATAGTTAGACATATTATAGGTCATTTACAATAATAATAATAATAATAATATTAATATTAGTAATACGCTTTATATTTGTATAGTACTATTACAAGAATTGTAGCCAAACTGGCTTCACAGCAGTTCAATAGACAGATTAGTATAACATGACAGGATAAAAGCAATGTAGAGGAGCAGCTACATTACAACACATATATCCACGAAGATTAATACATGAAGACTTGTGACTCGGACTTGACTTGGACTCTTCTGAGGTGACTCGGACTTGGACTCGGACTCGAACACAGGTAATGATGACTCGGACTCGACTCTCCCTAGGTGACTCGGACTTGAAGAGTGGTGACTCGAGAGTGACTTGGACTCGTGAATTGGTGACTTGACTACAACACTGTCGTGGAGGAATAAAAACAGGTGCAGACTACTCCAGGCTTCAATCATTGCTCATGATTTATTTATTTATTTATTTATGAGAGGAAACGTAGATAACAATGTGGGAAAGTTTGCTTTTAAGAGTTTATTACTTCAGATATGTGTGGAGCGCTCGTATTAATAAAACCGTTGTGAATCCAATACCAAAGTGCAGCTTATAATTTTGTATTACATCTATAATAAAAGTGAACCTTTGTATTGCAAAAGAAAATTCCAACCGAATTTACTCCAGGTGGAACTAAAGTAAGATTTGACTTGATTATATTTCACATCATTAATCCAAATCTGTAAAGTAACTAAAGGTATTAAATAATTGTAGTGGAGTAAAAGTACACCATTTACCTCTGAACTGTAGTGGAGTAAAAGTACAGAGTAGCATATAATGGAAATAGTAAAGTACAAGTACCTCAAAATTGCACTTAAGTATAGTACTTTTAGCCTAGCATAAAGACTGGAAGAATGGGGAAACAGCTAGCTGGTTTCAGTTCAATGTTGCAAAACTGGCCTAACAGCTCCTGAAGCCTATTGATTAGCATGTTAGCTTGTTCGCTTAAACCATACAGAAACTGAACTGTTAATACAAAAAGCTAAAGTAGCATCAGATTACAACAATCGTGGAAGTGGTATAGATCTCATCTCAATATCAGTGTAAATGGAACAAGTCCTTCCGAGTTAAAGGCCAGTGTGTCAGTGTGTGTGTGTGTGTGTGTGTGTGTGTGTGTGTGTGTGTGTGTGTGTATCACTCGTTTTACCAGCTTTTTCTGTTTCCCATTTCACTTTGTAATCAATGCTTTAGGATAACCGTTTTAGAGGTGGAGTCACATTCCCCATCTACTATTGGTAAGATATTGATATGAGTAACAGAGGAGGCAGCCACACTCTGATACATACAGTAATATGTCTTTACTGCACAGGGTGTGGTCCAGCAAAGGAGACAAGTGTGACCGCTCTGCTGTCATACCATTTGACAGCACAGATGTTGTGGTTGGTCTCCACTCGGATGTCAAAGCTTCCTCTCCCTTTTTTCTTCAAGCTCTTCTCCTCTTCAAGGTTACAGTTGGGTAAGCGCACCTGCCTGGCTGTTCCCACATAATGAATCCTGTGATCAAGGAGCTTCACTACCAATGGGACACAGGTGAAGTAGTTGTCTGCGTAGATCTTATAGTTCTGACCTACTGGAAGCGTGGAGGCAAGCTTCATCACAACATCACCCGACAATCCAAGTTCAGACTTGGCTCGTATCCCATTGACACTGCCTTGGTACACATCAACGTCACAGATCATTCCAGAGATTCCAGTTCTCACTCACACTTTGAACCCCCATGGGTGTGGCTTGCCTGCTGCTGAATTTCCCCTTGAAAGGAATCATCATCTCATCCACAGAGTTGTGTTCTTCTGGTACCACCTGCAGGCATTTCTCTCTGAATGTATCAAGCCAGGGTCTGAGTTTCCAGAGTTTGTCTTTCTTTTCCATCTCTGACACTGTCAAGTTGTTTACAAAATGTAATGATGTCAACAGATATTGGAATCTGTTGCGTGCCATCACATCAGAAACAGGGGGGTACCGTGTGTCTGTCTCCCAATACATACGGACTCCAGACATTTCTGGCTTAGCCTATGATCCTAATAAAAGGAATACCTACACCCATACATGCAGGTAAACCAGTTCAACAAGTCACACAATCCTGCCTATTATCCTAATAAAAGGAATACCTACACCCACACATGCAGGTAAACCAGTTCAACAAGTCACACAATGCTGTCTGGCTCATGCTAACAGGTTAATTATCATACTAAAAAGGATACATCCAAGTGTCCCAACACATTTCAGAAAGAACTGTTTCTGCCAGAACCAGAGAAGAGTTAAATTAATTGTTGTAACTAATCAACTGATAAGATACAAGTAGAGTTTAAAATATTGCTAGAGATATAATTTCACATACTTTTATCAGAAATAATGTATTAATTTATTAAATTCTGGTCTTAATTCAAAATCTTAACAGAGGACACATTTAGAACTTAGTTATAGTGAATTATCAAAGACATTATATTTCTATTTGTGTTTTATTTCCATATGTGAACATATAAGAAGGGCAATCTCCAGGTGCTTATGCTATTTTGACTACCACACTGACCCAGTGTTGTAATATTACAACAAAGACACAGGTTCAAACCCCACTGCAGTCAGCATGTCGTTGTGTCCCTGAGACACTTCACCCCAAAGTGCTCCTGTGGGGATTGCCCACAGTATTGAGTATGTAAGTCGCTTTGGATAAAAGCGTCTAACAAGTAACATGTAATGTAATATAATAAGCTGCTCAAAATCAAATTTGATGAATGTATTCCACAAAAACTAAATATGTAAATGTTCTAGACATTGTAATAATCACAAAAAAAAATATTTGAGGCATTTTACTTACTTGAATCTGACAAATCCAGTCCAATAAAACAAAGAGATGTTTATCGTTTGAAGATTCTGAAGTTTTGTGAGTGTATGGCCAGAGGGCAGGACCTATAAACACATTTACTACCCAATGGCATTGTGAGGCTGAGCAAAAGGACCTATTGACTATGTAAATGTTGTCTTTAAAAAAACAAAACATTTACTGACTTTTTTTAGGATAGCTTAAAGTAATGTTGTAAAATTACAACAGTGGGCCTTACAGGGTTAAGAGAACAGCCTCCATCACAGCTCTCCAGAGGCAGGGGCGGACTGGCCATCTGTGTGTTCTGGAGAATCACAGAACGGCCGGTCGTCAGTGGGCCATTGATGGCCGGTTCGGTTCGCTGACGGCCGGTACCGCCCTTTATTTAATTTTAAGACAAGCTTTCAGGTGTGGGCCAAACTGTACTCCATTATACTTTTAGAATTAGCTAAGGGCCAATTCAAATTGAACAAAAAGCGTCAGTTGACCCCGGGCCGTAGTTTGGACACCCCTGCATTAATGCATAGATAATTGTAAAAAAAAAAACATATCATATATATTTTATCTGAAATGGGCCAATGTTCATAGGGGTGACTACTTAGTAGTAGTATATTTTGATGCTAATACTTTTATACTTCTACTTGATAACAGAGTATTCCTACACTCTAGTACTTCTAGTTTTACTCAAGTATAAGATGTGAGTACTTCTTCCACCTCTGAATTGTTTGCTCCGACAATGATCATATGTGAGTGAGTGAGTGAGTGAGTGAGTGAGTGAGTGAGTGAGTGAGTGAGTGAGTGAGAGTGTGTGAGTGAGTGAGTGAGTGAGTGAGTGGTGAGTGAGTGAGTGAGTGAGTGAGTGAGAGTGTGTGAGTGAGTGAGTGAGTGAGTGAGTGAGAGTGTGTGAGTGAGTGAGTGAGTGAGTGAGTGAGTGAGTGAGTGAGTGAGTGAGTGAGTGAGGAGTGAGTGAGTGAGTGAGGTGAGTGAGTGAGTGCGTGAGTGAGTGAGTTAGTGAGTGAGTGAGTGAGTGAGTGAGTAGTGATGTGAGTGAGTGAGTGAAGTTGAGTGAGTGAGTGAGTGTGTGAGTGAGTGAGTGTGAGTGTGAGTGAGTGAGAGTGTGTGAGTGAGTGAGTGAGTGAGTGTGTGAGTGAGTGAGAGTGAGTGTGAGTGAGTGAGTGAGTGAGTGAGTGAGTGAGTGTGTGTGTGTGTTTTACCTCAGCGACAAAGACAATCACGAGGAGGTCTAGCTGCTGTGACGCGGTCAGGCTGTAGAACAGAGAGCTGAGAGTGCTGATCAGGTAGCTCTGCTTCTCACGCTTCACTGTGGGAATGCCCAGCACCATGGACACTGACACCACACACACAATATCAGAGTCAGCAAAACATTTTACATTGTAAGATCAACATGATTTGATAGGAAAACTTAATAATGGTAATGGTTATATACGATACCTCCGCGGCGGCCCTGTCCCAGCAGCACATTGGGGCAGAGGCTGTCTGGGTGCAGTTGAGGGGGGCAGGTACAGGTAAATGTTAGGCTGAAGGAACATCTGGGGGCCAGCATTTTTTGACTGCAGCCCAATTGTTTCTGTCCACAGGAAGGAGAGATTTGGATCACAGAGTCAGAATCAGAATTCCTTTATTAGGCCCGCAACAACGTTACAGCTAAAGTGACATATCAGATAAAAGGCAAGCAATAATAAAGTAGCTAGCAGGTTAAATATAGAGGAAAAGCACACATTTGAAATAACAATAATGCGCGAGTCCGAGTCGAGTCCGAGTCGAGTCCGAGTCGAGTCCGAGTCCAGGACTCGAGTACTCCATCTCTGATTCTGTCTAAAGTGACATTAGTGCAAACGTTCCAGTCCCCCCCCAGTATAACACACTCCCCCTGTACACTAGTGTCTAGCTTGTCTTGTAATAACTGAAACACAGATACACGTGCAGGGCCCTGATTGGGTGCATAAACATTAATAAAAGTGAAAATGAACTCTAACAGTTCCACTTTCACCATCAAGGCTCTACCTGCCACTATCTCTGTGCTGGACCACATCTTAACATTTAGAGAGGGGGAGAAAAAAAGAGCTACTCCAGCACTAAGGTTTGAGCCATGACTGAGTACATACTGACCCCCCCCACCACATCCCCCAGTCCGTCTCATTCAGGCTATCACTGTGCGTTTCCTGCAGAAATATCACATCTAATTTTTTCTGATTAAAGACCTCTAACACTAAAGCTCTTTTCTGTGCACTTCTACCCCCGTTCATGTTTAAAGAAGCAACCCTTAAAGCCTGCATTAGAGGAAGGAGACAGAGAGAAAGAACAGACAGGTACACACAGCAGAGAGGAGACACCCAGTGTTGCATGATCATGTTGAAATTATTTACACCTTTTCAGTTTCTTCCCTCTTTTGCTTTCTTTCGTACCTTTTCTCATAGCAGTTACATGCTTCCTGAGACGATAGCGTTTCTTTTCATCCAGCAGGTCTAACCCTAAAACTTTCTGAAGAGTGCTCACTGTATGAAGAAACTTGTTAGTGTCAGGGAAAAAGTCTCTCACTTCCACTGACTTGCCAAAAGACTCATTTAAAAAGACATTAATCTCTTCCAAAGAATATATCTCTGCTTTCTGCGAGAGACTATCTGCAACTGAAACACAGTCAGAATCCCCCTCACCCAGGGGCGGATCTAGACAAATATTCATGGGGTGGCAAGAGATTTTGAGGGGTGGCATCCCCTGGCAGAAGTATATGCTGATTGAATAGCAGTCATATCAATCAATCACTTGGAAAGCCACAATATTAATATTTTAACTCAATAACATAGGTGACATTATTGTGGCACATCAGTAAAGCCTTACATATAAATATATAAGGTAGCAGACATAATTGAATGAATTTTAACTGAACAATAACTGAATGAGTTTGTTTCACTCTTAGACCAGCAGGGGTACCACATCTATGCAGACTGCTGCAATAAGTACATTAATTAACTGTCTCATCAATGTTTGTCGGAATTAATATGATACTATTAACAATCATATTATTCCTATCAGCTGTCAATCACTGTTATGATTCACATATTCATTTATTATTGAATAAACTATAGTTTTTGGAGGAGTTAATGATGAATGTTCCTCAAAATGCTTGCTCACCCTCCTTCAAATTTGATAGACAAGTAATTATATCATGTATCAAAATTCAAAAGATTCAAAGGAACAGTTCAGCGCCCCACAACTTTACTGCAAACAGTGACAACCTGGACTTTACATCAGAAAGAACAAACATTAAAGAAGTGACTAACTGCAACACTTAGGGTTAAAAAAAACGTGTATTCAGCTAAAACATACACATCGCTGCAGTTATTATCCAGTGGAAAGTCCTTACCTACTGGCCTAGTTACATCAAAGTGGTTACTTCTTTTTGGCTGGGCAGTGTAGTTTTACACACCGTCTTATTTGACTTTCTCAGGACTTAAAACTGTTTTTTGGGGGCAGACCCCCACAAAGAAAAAAATATATTTACACACGTAAGGTCATCATCTTAACAGTTTTTTATGCTCATCGAGTCATCCGTGAGCAGAGCATCAAGTTGGCATGCCTATTACAGCTGAATGCGGCGATTACCATTTTGTTCAGCAAAACGCCTCACAAACTTATTAAGATCCAAAGCTTTAGTGTGTTTTGATTCAATGCTGAGTACAGCCAAACTTGACAGTCTCTTCTCTGTCATTGTAGACCGCAAATACCTCATTCCTTCCGTCTACTTGGGTCCGAATGCTTCTCGTTTTGCGCCGTCCCCCCGTTCAAATGAAATTGCCGCCAATCATATTTCCATGCTCGCGTCTGGCCCGGGGGAGGGGTTACAAGACTCGCGTCTTGTGCTGCATTCACTTGCACTCGGACATTAGAGATTTTCTCTCATAAATGTCCGATGAGCCACAACTTTTTGCCACCCCGGTAGATCCGCCCCTGCCCTCACCGTCTGTGTCCATCTCTGTCACCTCATTACTGTCTGCAGCCTGTTTAAGCTCTTTTTGCCGCCCAGAGCCAGACGGCAGCTCCTGCTGTGTGCCAACAGCCTCCACCTGTCCCGCAGCCCCGGTCCTCAACTGTCCTGCTACATCGTCCTCCACCCGTTTACCTGTTTCCACATTTTTCCCTCTCACACTCACCACACTCTCTACAGTCCCTGTTTCATCTCTCACGATATTCATCCCTACTTCATCCGCAGCCCCCGGGGCCCCGGTAAGACTTTTTTGTGTGAAACCGCTCAATGAACTACATCTCTGGTCTTGCACAACAACACACGTCACCAAGATGGCCGTCACTACTGTCTTGCCAAACAAGGGATTGACTACCCTCACTATCACCACAATGAAACACGTCCTGAAGAATGTCATGCAAAGCTGCCTGCCTGCCTTCCTTTGATTCTCTCTGAACTGCCTGATCTTTTTAATGTTTAATGTCAACCATTTGTGCAGATAGCATGAAGTAGAAAAGATCGCCGATGCTAATGTAGCGTTAGCGTTAGCATGTCTCCCCCGGGGGCATCCGGGCTTAAACTGTGTATTATAGAATGATCACACCGGTGTGACAGTACTCTTCAAAGGGTTCACGAAATATGACTACTACTCTTACTGTTTAACATTTTGGGTTACTTAATGTTACTTCATGTTAAGGCTAATACAAATGACAAGGCTAAGGCTGTAATGCTAACTAACGTGCTTGCTACTAGCTAGTTAGCTAACTTGATCCAGCCACTCCTGGTCCTTTCATCAGACGGGAAGCGAAAGAACGAGCAAGACCCATTGCTGGTATGATAACAACCTGGTACTAAGCACACAGGCATCTTGTTAAAGTTATCTTAGCTATCTCTTATTTAGTGGAGGAAAACAATTGTGACATCAGTTATGACATCACTTACGTGACTCTGGGATTTGTAGTCTTTCTAGTTGCGTATTTTTCATAGTCTTATATTTCAACAGTTTTACGACAAACTGTGACTTTTTTGACATGGAAATGATTTTTTAAGATTGACAAACATCATATGTGTAATTCATGGCACAATTCAAACGGGATCGAAAGATACGTTTTCTCTCACCATTGACTTAAATACATAATTTTTCCGAAATAAGGTCCCATGAGGTCCACCGGAAAGGGAGGGACTTCGCCTCTCTATAGTGGAATGCACAGCATTCGCACTAATTAAGCTATGAAAATCCTGATTGTATTAGTCGTTCACAGCAGGTCTCATGCTTATTTCCCACATAAAAAAGAACAGTGCAGGTTTTTGGGGGACTAATATTATATATCTATGACTTTTCTGGGTTGAACTGAGCTGCCTCCTGCAAACCAGAGCCCATCATGTTCAGAGATGAAAGAAGTACTCAGATCTTGTACTTAAAAAGTAGCAATACCAGAGTGTAGGAATACTCTGATACAAGTAAAAGTCCTGGATTCAAAATGTTACTCAAGTAAAAGTAGAAAAGTATTATCATCAAAATATAGTTAAAGTAGCGACAGTAAAAGTGCTCATTGTGCAGATTGGTCCATTTCAGAATAATATATATGATATGTTTTATAATGATTGATCATGAAAGTGTTCTCAAAGCTGGTAAAGGTGCAGCTAGTTTGAATGACTTTGTATACTGCAGGGTAGCTTGTGAATTTACTCCAGGTGGAACTAAAGTCTGATTTAACACTTGATTATATTTCACATCATTCATCCACATCTGTAAAGTAACTAAAGGTATTACATACATGTAGTGGAGTCAAAGTACATGATTTACCTCTGAATTCTAGTGAAGTAGAAGTACAAAGTTATATACAATTTAAGTACTATTCAAGTCCCCCAACATTTTAATTAAGTACTTGATTAAATGTACTTAGTTACTTTACACCTCTGGTCGCATGCTTGTTAATTTGAAGTAGAACAGCACCTGTGGAGTTGGCGGTGGAGATATTACGGGGGGGTTGGGTGGAGTTGGTGGAGTTTGTGGCTTTGGACATGTTCTTCAGACGTTCCAAGATGCGGCTGAGGTCCCGGCCCACCTGCCCGGCCCGCTCCTCAGCCGCCAGCAGACGCCGGTACAGGGTCTGCAGGTCCGGAGCCGCTGAGCCTGGAGACATTAAATAAACAACATTAACATCACAACATTAGCAAGAGCAACGACCTGATGCAAAGTTTCAACAAAACCAGATCAAGCTCAACAGCCCAATCGGAACCTTGCTAATCTTATACCGAGTGGTGGAATGTAACTAAGTACATTTACTCAAGTACTTAGCTAAAACATGTAGGTACTTTCCATGAGTTCATTCATTTTATGCTACTTTATACTTTTACTCCACTTCCTTTATTTTATAAATGTAGTTACTTTGCTGATTTAGATTATCAATACAAAATATAAATCAACTAAAACACTCAAATATAGTATTATAGGTTGAACTGCCCAGTAGTACTGTATATAAAGTGTTTTAAATTAACCCCACCTTGAGCACATGCAACTTTGAAGTGATGAACATATTAATGTGTCAATAATTATAATATATCAATTAAAAATATATGGTGCTGAAATTGGTGAGTGAATAAGGAGTACTTTTACTTTTCTAAAGTAGGTATATGCTAATACTGAGACAGAGAAACAGAGTGCCACACAAACAAGTGTAAACAATGTAAACTATTTGCATTATATATTGATTGGGTGTTTTTCAGTATTTTCTTTGTATTATTCAGAAACTCTATTGATATGTATTTTCTATTTGAAATGTTGTATACATTTGCTGTTCATTTTAAAATTTGAGTTGTATTATATGTGTATCTTATTCTATCTTTTAAATATCTATCCAAATATCTAGCTATCTATCTAGTTAATCATAGCTTCCTTTTAACTTTACTCAAAACATGCATATTTGACTTGCAGATAATTGACATCATTTTGAGACATTTATCCTGTTTACAGTGTTTGCACAGCAATTTTAGGAGTTATTTCGGCACACTGACCCTTTCTAAGTATTGGCCTCAGACAGACAGACAGACAAATAAATGTGTGGAAACAAATATAAACATAACAACATTAAATACAAATGAAAGCAATAGACAGGAATATATGCATATACAGTAGAAAGGACACGATGAATATTATAACATTTAATGTAGCCTTACCACTGCATTGGTAAGGTAAAACTAGGCCGATTAATAAGATGTGAAGTGCTTTGTAACTTTGACCCGCTTGACTGAATACACAAAAAACAATGAAGAAAGTTGAACCAATAAACTAACACAAACTAACTGTATCACTATAACATGATGATGATGGTGATGATAAATAATGCATCTAACGTTCCGCTGTTCATTCAAAAACAGCGCATTAAACAAACAATCATGCTCTTACTTGGAAAACCATGCGGAAATGTCGTCATCAGCAGGCCATCACGTTGTTTCCGAAAATAACCGAGTGAGACGAGTAGATTTTAGCCGAGACCGGCGGAAAGTTTGTCTCAAAACTCCGTGTGTGTAAAAAGACGATCCACAAGCAGAGATTTGAGACCCACAAGCAGAGATTTGAGATCCACAAGCAGAAATGTGAGATCCACAAGCGCATTTTTGGTTGACAAATACAACAAGAGATATTCAAAGATCTTTTTTTTATTTGTAAAAATATTTTGCGTATTTTCAGATCCGTTTTACATTTGCAAATGTATTTGTGAGTTTGCAAATCTTTTAAATGCATTTGTGGATGGTGTTTTACATTTACAAATCACATATTTACACACAAATTATTTGTATGTTCACACAAATAATTATGAGACATATCTAAGCCCATACATTTGTAAAACTTGTTTAGTTTGTTTGTGGAGTTATGGCAGGAAATTAGCTCCATACACTGACAGCTCACCTTCATTACTGGGAATCGATATAATCCAAGATATGGACGCCAAACTGAGGATCGCCAAAACACATCCAAATCTGAAGGAGTAAAGTCTCATTTCATTTCTCAGCGTCGGTCCGTCCGTGTATGTGTTCCGACCTGCAGGTGCGGTGACAGCGGGCAGCAAGGTGTGTGTGAGCGCTCAGGTAAAGAGCACCTAGTGACTCTACCCTATGCCAGCAACAAACAACACAAAGCATGCCTGTCTTCACACCTCTCTTCCTGTGGGCAGTACATGTGAACTTTCCAACAATGAATAAGGATTCTGTGCAGAACACGGTACCTGTTGCGGGACCCATTGCCAGGTGCTAACGCTGAATGAAGGAGTGCAACAGCGACTCCGGCTGGTAGAATAAGAGAAGGCTTCAGCACGAACACAAATAATGATAGAAATGCATTGATCAAATTCTCATTTTGTTTTGTTGTATTGTGTGGTAGCCTAGGCTACATAGCTGTTTATAGCCTAAAAGCCTTGGTGAGTAGTAACGTTACTTATTTTATCAAGAGTAGGCTACTTCGAGTTATTGGATAAAAGTCACATTATAGAAAGAATTAGGCTACCTGTGTCCTGTGTGTGTAACGCAACAACTTCCCTTGCTCATTAATAGTATAATAACCATAATTCACCTGTTTAAACATGAGAAACAATGACCATGTGCATGTAGTTATAATTGAACTTTCCCTAATCAGCTTTATGGGGATGTAGCTCAGTGGTAGAGCGCATGCTTTGCATGTATGAGGCCCCGGGTTCAATCCCCGGCATCTCCATGATTTTTCAATACTTTCCGTTTTCCTAGCAGATTGCATTATTTAACTATCGGCTATCAGTCAGAAAAATAACAAAATGTACGGCAAGTACCTGCTCGGCGTAAGATACCTTGCGTCGCTGCTTTTAGGGTAATCTTGTTGGTAGCCTAATATATTCAAATGTTCTACTTCGTTAAGAGGCATGTGCAATGCAATGCAATTTAATTTAAACTTATTTGGATGTTGTTACATTCACAAACCGCTGAGTCTGCAATTAACAAACTGCTTTTCTTGTGTGAACTTCTCTGCATCTGTGTGTGTTTTTTTTGGTTTAATAGAATTGATCAGGGAAATATCTATAGCCAATCAGATATTTACTTCATTTTCAGCCAATCACAGGAGTGTGTCCCCACATTGTTATGATTTAATGACATCACAACATCAACATCCGGCGGTGTGCAGGGATTGAGAATTATTTGTAACCTGCCTAGTCGGTTCAGTTGTGCTGTCCATAAGCTAACACTAACAATTGCTTGATCCCTAATAAGATCTTTGGAAAATCTGTAAATAAATAGTATTATTGTTGTTTTTAAATCAATAATCCATTCCGCAAAATCAGAATTATAAATTATTATAAATTGGAAGAAATATTTAACCTAAGCAAAAACACATTACAAGGTTAACTTGACATATCCTGAAAAGCAGGCTCCATTATTCTTCCAGGACCATTTCCACGTGGCCAGCTGCCTCTGCTGACAGAGATGTTCCGAGGGTCAGAGCAGTTTAACAGATATCCTTAAATCTCTCTTCTAGTGCCACCTATTTGTAAAAACAGGCTTGGATAAATGTAACAAAAGATGATTTATGAAAACCAAAGTGACTAAGAAGCCAATCAGCATGATAAGGTTTAATGACTTTTTGGCTTGGACAAAAAATAGTGCTGCAGGGCAATGGTTGATCAGACCATAAATGGATCATAAAAACTATGACCATATTTAATTTTCTATAGTCAACAATGCTATTTTCAGAGTGAAGCTGAGCCGGTTTACTTTACCACCATAGCTATATAAAGAGAACATCCACGACAAAATCTTCCTATAAATAGTGTTTGTCTTGGCTGAACTAGCTACATAAGCTCATAGAACAACTCCATATCTATAACCATTTCCTTTAAATGACACAACAGTGAGAAAACATATTTGTAAAGGGTATATTTTGTGTTTTGTGTATCTTATATTTTACATTAGTATACCTCAGAGCAAAGACACACTAACTCTGAAAAGATGTCTTACACTCCAATTTCGACATTACGTTTGGAGCGTGCTTTTGCGTTTAGTAGCCTAATTCTGTGCTCAACAGCATTATATTAAGGGGGGCGGGTTGGTTTACATCTCCCAATTGCTTTGGTCTAGTTATTTTCGTCCGGTTGCAAATTGTCACTCCTTTCCTTTTATTATCAACTAAGGAGTGCGTAATTCCATAAATGAGACCACATGTGTAGCTCATCACTATCCTTTCAACACTGCTCTCTTTGTGGAGCTGCAGGGCGGGCCATTACCAATATCATTTGTTCAGTGTATTAGCCAGGCACATCTTTCCATGTGTATTCCATCATCTGATTTCCTTCCACTTGTAAAGATTGAATATAGTCGTGTCTTAGCAACTACAACTTCAATATTAAATGTCTTTTAAAATTCTAACTGTATTGCAGATGTACAGAGGTCCCATGAGTGCATGACTTCACAGACGTTCAGACAAGAGTCAGCATGGAGTCCAAAAAGAGCATTTTGTTGCTATGGACAACAGCAAGATGAAGCACACAGTCACAGACACACAGCCCCATTCAGATACTTTACAACACCCGCCCCCCCCGCCACTAACCCTTCATCTGTCATCATTACCACCAAGTGACCTTTTGACCTGTCCCAGCCGCTGAATTCATGAGGAAGTGGCCTGTTGTCATGGTGACAGAGTAAACGTTAAATCTCCCTTCACCCCAGAAACTTTGATTCATGTTTTCATTCGAACTTATTTTCTGAGGAGAAACATAGCGAATCAGCCATTAGTACATTAGCATTAGCATTAGCTCAGGTTGGTTCTCCTGAGATGAATAGCTTGAATAGCAGCTGGTGTTTTTTGTTTGTTATCTGCTATTTCCCAGCTAATCACTCACTTCGCCTGTTTGCTATATTGCTGAGCAGGTTGTGAACTGTGCGCTTCTAAGAGTTTCTATACTGAAAATGTTTTGAAAGCCCTGGTGGTTTGATAAACACACACACACACACACACACACACACACACACACACACACACACACAACACACACACACACACACACACACACACAACACACACACACACACACACACACACACACACATACACACACACACACACACACACACACATACACACACACACACACACACACACACACAAACACACACACACACACACATACACACACACACACACACACAAACACACACACACACACACCACACACATACACACACACACACACACACACACACACACACACACACACACACACACACACACACACATACACACACACACACACACACACACACTCATTGTTGTCTTTTAGGCTGTATTACTGGAGCATTTATGGCATATGACAAGGGATGCAGGGGTAAACAATAGAGAAGAAGGAGGAGCGTCTGAGTCTTCAGAGGGTCTCTGAGGAGGACGTCCTGCCTCCTTCCTGTGCCTCAGCCACTGTGTCCCTGTGGCTACAAAGACTTGTACTATACTGTAAACTTCTTATGTTTATATCCCTTTTTATTTCTTTTATGTTGCATACATGGACATAAAAGGGACTTCCATGCGTCGAAAGTTTATCAAATCAAATCCTTTTCATTTGTTAATTGCACCGGGCACGCTACAATAAGTAATGTCTTATTCTAAACTTTCATTCACATGCTCAAACTTACATTAAACATAGAATACTACAAGTATGCTTACTATTAACCCACTAAACACATATACTGTACTGACACCTTTCACACAACTCGCTGTTCAGTTAAAGGAGGCTCAAATACAGGCATTAGTCCAATCAAGCTATAGCGGGTGACACACATTTCACATTCCGATAAATGATAATATATTATCTGCATTTCGCTAGTTTGTTACAGTTTCATATACAACATTCATTTGTGTCAATATTTCAATACAACTTTTCATCACTTTAGCTTTAATACACAAGTACATCAATGCACGAGGCTGCTCTCGGCACTAAGGATTCCCCTAAAGGACCCCTGAGCTTCACTCTTGGTAACTCTCACTTACCTACTAGATATTAAAATTGCACATGAACATCAGAAACAGGTTAAAGAAATGCAAAAAACGTTTGCAATATGATATCATGTCTATTATCAGGCCCAATATTACTGTGGGACCCACATTTATATTCTAAAATATTGCAGTTGTCACAAAACCCAATGTCCCCACCAGGAGAAATCAAGTATTTTGATTCTGAAGTCTGTATGTGTGTCTTCTGCACTATCACATCAGCCTCACACGTGTTGTTCTTTGCGGTAAAAGAGCAGATTACAAGGAATGTATGGAGAATATTATTCTGAACATGAATCGGCATATAGACAATACCAAGGTACTAATAATATGCACTCCGTCTTCCAAGTATGCGATTCCACTTCATGTTCTCTGCTTTTTATTTCAAGAGTGTTGAATGGAAGGCAGCTGTATTCAAAGAAACAGATCACAGTGAAAGCTATGTTGGCTCACAGAGAGAGAGAACACGAGGAAACACAGATAGAGAGACAAATCTGTTCGTCTTCATTTGAGTTTTTAATCCGCATGTTAAGAGGATTGTGTGTAAAATGTTAATACACGAGAGAAGATACACATGCAGATGTTGCACACAGGGAAACATGCACACACAAATCTAAACCCATCTTTGCTGTGTAACACTCACTAATCCTCCCGGGTCAAATGCAGGATTCCAGAGAGTGCTTTTTTTCATTTTAGAAAAGCGGAATGATGTCAAATCAACGCATCTATGATCATTGATGTTACATATTGACGGGGATGCAGAGCTCACAGATGGAACAGTGAGGAAACTGAGGTTGGATCTTCTGAAGTGAAGGAAAGACACTGCTTCCACAAACGCTTACATTTGTACTCTCAGTGTGGCAGTGGGTGGGGCAGAGGGTGGGGAGTGGGGGTCTTAGGGAAGAATCAAGAGAAGAGAAAGGAGCCATCTGTTCCTATAGTGGCAGATAAAGAGGGAGTGAAGAAGAGGACGGACGCAGAGGAGGAGGAAGGTAAAACACTCTTCTTTAACGCTGTGTGCAGCTTATCTGCTGACCTGTAAGCTTCTCTGAGGTATGCATGCCAGATAGTGAGAATATTGCATGAGTCATGGCCAATACCCTGACCATTAGTGGTATACGTATATAGTGAGTGGGCTTCTGTTAAGCCTTAAGGGAAA